TATTGCGGTTAGACGCACGTGAGTGGTGAGCAGATAGTTGATTTTATACATTTGTATTTGACATAGTTAGATGAAGATAAATAGTGGTTTATTGACAGACATCAACTTATAAATACAGTTCTCTTTTTACTTTAACCAAGTACTCGCTTCTTCTTACCGTCTTCCTCTGCACGTACGAGTGGTAAAGCTGGGCCTGAGGCACCGTCTTATTCAGTCATCAAAATAAGTAGCTTGTACTGTCATCAGTACAAGATTAAGGGTGCCCCGTTTCAACACGCATGTCTCGCTCGCGCATCGCACGTCGCGTCGAATAGCAAAGCGCATTTGTAACGAGGAACCTGAAGCTTGTACTGGTGACAGTACAAGCTACTTATTCTGATGACTGAATAAGGCGGTGCCTCGTAACTTTACTTACACTCGTACGTGCAGAGGAAGACGGTAAGAAGAAACGAGTACTTGGTTAGAGTAAAAAGTAGAACTGTATTTAGCATAGTTAATGTCTGCAATAAATCACTATTTATCTTCATCTAACTATGTCTAAATACAAATGTGTAAATCAATTATCTGCTCACCACTCATTGCGTGCGTCTGTCGTTGCGCGTCTTCGTTGGTTGATACAATGGCCTATATCAACCAATTAGGAACTACTCGAAAGTGCAACAGAATATTTGTCCTCATGACAATATTCTGAGAATGTAACTCTTATAGTTATATTCTATTAACAATTTCTTATAAATTGTTATGTAACGATTCACCCCGTTACACCCCCCCCTTAACCATCAGTCACTTAAGTGACTGATTGACTAAATGGATACTCGTCCCAAATCATTTGGGACAGGGTTTGCACTTGTTGGTCCGAGTCCACTTTCCAACATCTCATCGCATATTTAACAAGCCCATGCGATGCGCGAGCAAGGCCGCCGAGAGCGCGTCTGCACGTCTCTGTGCGGATGCCGAAGCAGAAACAACAGCAACTGATGTCCCATCGGTTGCTGAAGTGACTCAGCCTGTATCACCTGGTGATGCAGGCGCTGGTCATGAAGACACTCGTGTCTTCACAGAGTACGAGCTCGGTGTCTCGTACTCTCCTGATACGGATGACGGATCCGTATCGACGGCGATTGAATCTAAGCCGCCTGCCAAGCGTGGCATGGACGATGCTTTGCGTCGTAGTATCTTTGGTTCGTCTGACGATTCAGACGAACCATCGCCGAAGCGAAGGCGCTCGAGGTCGCGAGACTCGGGCGCTAACAGTGGTGTCGGTTCTTCTATGGACACCACTTCACAGCGAGGTGCCAGTACTTCTGTCGGCACGTCGCAGGAAGAGCGGGACCGCAGCGTGTTGCGTCTCGCTCCTGAGAAGAAGGCATGGATGCCTCCTAAATCTGTCATGGATCACTTGTCGGCGACGACGAGTGATCGTAATCGAACACGATTGTTCGATTCGTCAAGGATCCATCACCTTGACCCCAGCGCGAAAAACTATCGCGCTGAACACGAATTCTTCATCGATGCTTTCTTTAGACATCGATGGTACAGGGGAAATCACAAACGTGATGGTCCCTCACTACTTCAGGCGTGGAAAGCCTACATCCATAACCTCGAGGATGTAGGTCGTGACGCTTGGAACGACAAACTTATCAAAGCTCGTGATAAGTTTGAAAAGCGAACCCCGACAGGTGCACGCTACAAGCTGCATCGTCTATCAAGGGAGAAAGGATTACCCTGCCTCTCTTGGGGAGACTCGTGCCCATGTTGTGTGAACAACTCTGCACGAGCACCTAAGGAGGCTTACCTCCTTACCAGCCCGTGGTGGCGCGTACGCATCTCGTATCCACAGTGAGACGTACGAAGGGATTGACAACCTGAAATCCCTTTACGACCGTGCCGGGAAGACTTTCTCCGGCGGTCCTTCTGCGGCACAGGGATGTGCCGCGTCGTACTGCTCAACCAGACCCAGTACGTCAACCATCAGTTGGGAGCGGGGCTCCCAAGAATCCCAGGACGGGGGATAGCCGCGCCACCGGACGAGATAACTCGTCCGACGTCCGTTCACGTCGCGGTGGTTCAACAGCTGCTCAACTAGATAGCGCTGGCCACCGCGAGAGTCCTCTAATGGAGGTGGAGGAGGAGGAAAGACGCTCTCCACACGATCATGTGGATCCGTGTGTTCCCGAGAGCTTCTTTGATCGCGTAACGCAAGGGTTACGCGACGATCTCGAGCATGAGCGGAATAGGCGTCTCCAAATGGCGGACACTGCCTTGAAGCATCGAGCTGAGTTTGCCTTTGCTCAGCTTGATAACGAGAGATCTCTGACATCTCTTCGTGACGAGCTAAGGGTAGCTCGTGGGATTGTTGATCGGTCTCGGGATGAGATAACTGCTCTTCAGACCCTTGTTGATGCCCACCATCGGGAGCACAAGGCTCTCTGCGAGATGCTTGAGCGCAAGGGCGTTCTTCATCGGAAGAAGCAGCGTACTGATGGTACGGCTTAAGCCGACCAACGTAAAACGTGGGATGCGTTCGCATCTTACGTGGCAACTCGATCGTGTATGCATTGCCTAGGCAGTGCAATACACGAAATGGGCCGATGTACTTGGGTAGTAGTAAACTACCACCCAAGCTAGTCACTACATACTTTGGTATATTAACCGTAGACAGTAGGACTAAGTCGCCTTTACTAAATAAAAGAGTGTTTGCCCTTCCATTCTTGTCAGCGTTTTGCTTTTGCTTATCCACCGCTTCGGCGATGGAGTCTTGCACAAAACGGACTACCGTTTCACGAGCCAGTACGAACTCATCTGATGACTCGTTAGATTCAGTGTGCTGTGAGCGCACTGCAGCAACGACAACCTTTTCTTCAGTGAGGGCTTCCGCACTCTTACTGGGATCATTGTCTTTAGTGAGGCTTCCGCACTCTCACTGGCATCATCTTCTTCGATATCGATGTTATCGATATCGGCATCAAACGCAATGACCTCTTTGTCAGAGCGTGATGAGCGTGAACCAAATCGGTTTTTGCTCGCGCGAGTCCCTCCCCCCCTTAAACCAGAGTTACACTCTAGTAAGGTGGGTACGCGCGGATGGCGCAAGCCATTCACGTAAAACGGTGTATGTGTGGTGGACGCATGCACCGAGTTGTTGATGGCAAACTCTACCATTGGCAAAAACTCACTCCAACTCTTAAAGGAGTGTACGTATCCTCGAAGAATCTCTTCGAAGACATGATTGGCACGTTCCGTCTGACCATCTGACTCTGGATGATCAGATGTTGACATCTTCAAGCGCGTTCCGAGTGATTTGAACACGGACCGCCAGAAATCAGCAGTGAATCGTGGATCTCTGTCTGATACGAGTTCACGGGGCAACCCATGAAGTCGGAAGATGGTGTCAATAAAGACACAAGCACAGCCACTTGCCGTGATTGTCTCTGGTACAGCCACAAGGTGTACCATTTTGCTGAATCTGTCAACAAATACGAGAATACCCGTATTCCCGCGTGCGTCTTTGGGTAACCCGAAGACGAAATCCATTGAGGTGGATTCCCAGCACTCAGCCGGAACTGGTAGAGGCTGTAAAGGTTCTCGCAGTGAAGGACTTGACTTCACTCGTTGACAGACTTTGCATGCGCGAGCATGTTTTCGCACAAACTGATACTGGCGGGGCCAGTAAAAGTCTCGACTCACCATGAGATACGTCTTCTCCCGGCCACGATGTCCTCCTGTAGAAGCATCGTGATACTCGAACATGATCCGCAAACGCAGATCAGTATCATCTGGGATGACAACACGTGGTGTGTCACCAGAAACGGCTGTATAATACAGTAAACCGTTACGAGTAGTGTATCGATCTGATGCAGATCGATACGCAGACGATAACTGTTTCAACGATTCTCGAGATGGTTGAGAGAGATGTGTCAACAATTTCACAATCTCACCATCTTGGGCGTGTGCCCGCCTCAAATCATCATTCAACGTTGAAGATGGGACTGAGGACGTCATAGCCGCAACAGTGACTGTCTCACTGTTAAGTTTTCACGACTGGTTCAAAGTCGGGACGACGTGAGAGTGCATCAGCGACGACATTAAGTCGTCCTGGTTTGTACTCGACCGTAAAGTTGTATTCTGCAAAGAATGACAACCACCGCGCCATTCGTTGTGAAAGGTGCGGGCTGTTTACTGCCGTGCGTGATGACGCATGGTCAGTGTAAACAATGAAGGGTCTATCTCCTAATAGATAGACTCTGAACTTCGCGAGTGCATACTTCATGGCAAGGGGTTCCTTGTCATGCACTGGATAGTTCCGCTCAGCTGGTTGCAGCTGACGCGGCTGATAGCAGACGACGCGTTCAACGCCTTCAAGATCGTACTGCATTAATGCACAGCCAATTGCGAAATTGCTGGCATCACAGACTACATGAAATGGCCTGTCCTGATCGGCTATTGCTAGGACTGGGGATTGTATCAATCTCTGCTTGATACCATCAAAGGAGCGCTGACATTCAGCGTTCCATAACCACCTCTCGTTCTTTTTCAACAAACGAGAGAGGTGCACAGTCATCTCGGCGTAATGACGTGAATGCTTATGCAAATACGCCGCTAGCCCAAGGAATTTTCGAAGACCTTTGACATCAACCGGCACAGGCCAGTCGGTGATCGCCTTGATCTTTTCGGGATCAGGACGTACTCCGTTCTTACCAACGATGCACCCAAGAAGTGGTATTTCGCTTGCTGCAAATATACACTTCTTGAGGTTTGCATACAATTGATGCTTATGCATGATTGTAAGAGCCTGTCGGACGTGGTACCTGTGAACCTCAACGTCCGACTTTCCATCCATAGCTCGACTATGGATGAATACGTCATCGAAATAACTCGGCGCGAATTCTCGTACTGGTTTCAACAGATGTGATACACATCTGTTGAACGTGGCAGGGGCATTACTAAGCCCTTGTGGCATTACTAGCCATTCCCAGACATGCCGCTAGGCGTGCTCACTGCGGTATAGGGTATATCCCGTTCTCGCATAAGGATTTGATAGAAGCCATCCATCAAATCCATCGACGAAAAGATGGTACTCTTTGACATACCATCAATGATTACGTCCTTCCTCGGTATCGGCGTCTGAGCCGGTACCGTTGCAGCACTCAACTTGTTGAACGCGTGCACTATCCGCCACCCTCCTGTTGCTTTTCGCACACAGAAGGTCGGAGAGCTATGTGGGGAAGTTGATTCCCTCACATGGCCCGCTGCTAAACGATCGGCAAAGAACTTGTCGATCGCAAGTACTTGTTCACGAGGCAGTGGCCACTGCTTCATGACACAGTACTTCGAGCCTGGTTTAAGCTCGACCTCGTGTCGAATACCTTTATCCTTCGGTAATTCGCACGGAACAGTTTCAGGGAATACATCCTTGAATTCAACCAAATCTTCATAGAGAGGATTTGTCTTGAGCGATTCCCACGATTGGGAGTCATATCGCTCAACTCGTGTCTTTTCAGCTAGGACACTCTCGTCCATAGATGAACTACTGAGAACTCTCTCGTTCTCAGTAAACACTGTTGCCGACCTTATGTCGGCTACACGCTCGTCGTCAGCGACGAGTATGCAGATCTGCTTGACTTTGCCACTACGCAGATCAAGCAAGAACCTTTTATGTTCGAGCGTTGGCAACTGAGTGATCTCCGAAGTTAACTTCGGAGGCGCAATCAGATCAAACGTATAAGCGCCTACACTTGATCCGTTGTTGACTATGACATTCAATGTCTCTGTCCTTTCCTGGGGGCTTATTCCCTCAGGCCTCGAAGGACTTATTCCTCCGGCTGCCCGGGGACTTATTCCCTCGGGTTTCGGGGAACTTACTTCCGCCGTGTTTGTAATATCGGGACTTATTCCCTTTACTTCCTCTAGCTGTGGTTGCGCAACCACAGCGAGATCCTCTACGAAAGACTCTCCAGTCGATCTAGGATTATCGTTTCGCTTAACCTGAGCGATCGATTGTTTCTCTTCTAGATGTTCCCCGCTAGGGATACATCTTTGTCCCGGTCCACTCGACTTGTTCGAGTGGTGGACCTTCGGCGCAGCCTGTGTTTCCTCACAGCAGCCGGAACTTTGCTCCGAAGTGTAACCGTTTGTTACACTAAGGTTTTGTGCAGTCGTACTAACGACCGTACCACAAATGAGGCCATCGCGCTTACTCGTAGTACAGCCACACGCTTGTGGACGCTCCAAAACGTTCATCAGATGGCCATCAGATGAACAAGCGGCAGGCATCGTTACTGTTCGATGTTGCCAGTTTACCCGTGGTTCGTACCTTCTGAGCCACGGTATTCCAAGGATGACATCAAATTTGTCATCCAAATCCAATACGATAAAGTCATCGTCATATTGGGTATCTTCTAGCGTATAGTGGATCTTCACTATACGCTTCATGACGGTTGCGAATGCGGCTGTCGCAAGACGTACCGTCATCCTCGTAGGAGGTGTGTCACATGCACTGAACTTAAAGTGACCATCTTCTAGCGATTGGCGTCGCACAAAATTGTTGGACGCCCCACAATCGACTAGAGCTCGAAGGGACAACTTATTCGTCACTTCGAGTTTCAAGGTAATGAGTGAGATCTCATTACCTAGAGTAGCAACACACAACATTTGTGTGTTGGGAGCAACCTTTATCAGGAGGCCCACAAATTCTCTTGACATTGCTGGACCAGTAGGGTGCTCCGCACCTACTGATCCTGTCCGTTTTTTGACGGTCCATCCCGTTGTTGCGTCTTTGCACCAACTGCGGACCCTCGTCCCTGCCCCTTTCTCATGGGTGGACGGTCAATACGCCCAGTGTTGCGAGACACTGGACGAGGGGCACTACACTCTTAAGCGTAGTGTCCTGTCTTTTGACATCTGTTGCATCTCTGCAACTTCTTGTAGCCTGTAGAGCGAGCCTTCTCGCTCTCTACATAACAGAGTTCCATCGGCTCTGGACCTCCGTTGTCATATCGTCTCGGTTGACGATATGATGTCGAGCTGGCGCGAGCCTGTCTCAGACTGAAGTCTTCCTGCTCCGCAATGGATATGGCTTGTTCTAATGAATCTAGTTCAAGTCGGAACATGTAGCGGAGCTACACAGCTCCTTAAGTCAGAGGAAGACTTAACGCTCTACGAGCAACTTAGTTAAAAAAAAATAACGACTTTACGAGTCAACAAGCTTTATAGCTTCAGATCCCTGTTCCAGGGGACCTAACGATTCAGTGAATCGACAGCACTTAGTGCTCAAGAGTAGCTACCTCAAGGAGGTGTCGCTAACTCTTAGTGATCAGAGATCAACGATCAAGACGGCTCGCAAGCCACGTGTCTTTCAGATCAAAATGGGAACTGATTTTATTTTTGTTAAAGCCTATAGAATATCTTAATCCTACTCAAAGATCTTTCGTATCTAATGGATGACACTCGTCAGCCCCTACAAACCGATAAGATATTCTATATCACCTTCACAGAAGCGAACCCTCAGGTGTGTAACACCTCTGGTACAAAGTACCAAGATTTCGTGCAACCCCGTTACACCCTCCCCCACCAGACTGACGTTTGCCAAAACGTCAATCGAACTCGTGTTCTCAGCGAGAACAGTGCGCGTACGGTGAACCTCACGGTAACGTACGCTCCAGCACGATGTCCTCATCACCAAACGAGTCAAAGGCTCTGTGTGACTACCTCGGAATAGAGGAAGAGGTGGACTATGGTAGCGATACCAGTGTCCGCGGTGACACAGGGACAACGTCCGGCTCACTGATGCCTGAGGCACAACTTTCGAACACCCCAAATCCGTTCGCTGAACGTGGAGGTGCGAGCGCGCCGTCAGCGCAGCATGCAGCATCTGGTTCTGATGAGACTATCATCGCGAACCCGCTCGATGAGCAACAACAACTGCTTGTTCAAAGAGAAGAAAACGCTCAGCGTTATGCACAGATGACTGCAACCCTTGAACGCCAGCGTGACTATGTGTTCATCCCACCCAGTGTGGAGGAACGTCTGCGTCAAGCGGCCGGCCAAACATTGGCAACGTGGGTCATTGGCCATGGGCCTAAGACTCCTGAGGAGGTGGTGAGCTGCCAGGCACTTCGTGAGAGGTACCTGGAGCCGCACCTAACGACTCAAGGTCAATACAAGGCACGCCTTGACATGCAAGCACGTGGTGCACCAGTTCCACCAATGAAGGGTATACCCATTCTCCTGCTCGCAGGCGAAACAGCGAGTGAAGAAGACAATGCCTTTGTTCACTGGGTGCACTATGTGCGTCGCCTCAGCAAGATTTTTGCTCTAAGGGCTAGTGCCCATGCGGCGGATGTGCGTCTCGAACGCAAGCTTCGGTATGATTATGCCAAGCTTAAGGCCAGAGGCCAATTGCGCAAGCGCACGCGCTATGCTTCGGCTACTAAGGTAGCCGCGAGTGCTGGTCAGTCTGTGACCAACAACCCGCCAACCCGCACCACTAGTGGTGGTGAACGGCCTCGGCCTCGAGCTGACCTTGGCCACGATGCTCAAAAGCCTCCAAAGCATATGGGCAGCCTTGCCGAAGGGGTACCTCAAATTCCCATGAGTTTTCAGACTCAAGGTACCCACGCCACTTTACCAGATACTGGTATTGGCCCTGACGACGACGTCGTTTCAGTAGTCTCTCGACATGAAATTGACGACACCCATGCTCATCGAGCAAAGTCGGTGGCGGCCGGTGTACCGGTGGAGGCCCACGAGAAATTGGTTCTCGAAGTGAAGGGTCTTCAAGAGGCCTTGGGTAAGTCCCAGTGCATGCTGGATGCGATGCAACGCCGCCTTCAGGCGATGGAGCAAGCTCAAACTCGGAGCGAGGCTCAGTTGGACTTGCTGATTCGTCTACAGCAATCCGGGGCAGTGCCCTTGTCGTTGGCGCAAGCGCCTCCAAGTTCACATGGGAAGGATCCCGGTACGGCTTAAGTAAGCCTACGTAGAACACTGGATGTGTGCGCAATTTGCACGGGAGGTTTAGCGTATACGCAAGTCCCTTCTTGGCCGTGACCGTAAACGGTCCAATAAAGCGTGGACGCAACTTTTTCTTAAAGACAGCAGACACTACATTTGTAGGTAGATTTTTAGCATTAAGTAGTACTTGGTCTCCGACCTCATAATGTTCAATACAATTTCTGCCTTTGGCATCAGCTTGTTGTTTTTGGGTATCTTGGCTATCAGCCATTGCGTCACGCACATGTCTTAAGACATTTAATCGCGTTGCGAGAAACTCGCCTACCTGTTTTTGAACAGTAGCAGGGCTGATATCAGCAAGCCGATCGGCAACCTCTCCCCCACCAAGCCCTGATTCACGTAGTAATAGCGTTAACGGAACGCGAGGGTGAGTGAGACCGTTTATATAGAACGGAGTGAAGCCTGTTGAGGCATGGACAGCGTTATTCAACGCAAACTCAACAACAGGGAGCATTGATCTCCAACGCCTAGGCGTATCAGCGCAAACACTGCGCAAAATGTCGTTGATGACGCGGTTTACACGCTCAGTTTGACCGTCGGTCTGCGGATGATCCGCTGTGGACATGTCCAACCGAGTGCCAAGCACCTTAAAGATAGACTTCCAAAACTTCCCAGTGAAGCGGGGGTCTCTATCAGAGATAATTGCCACAGGCAAGCCATGTTGGCGAAAGAAACGGTCGATAAACAGCTTTGCTGTACCTTCCGCATCAATGCTATCCGGCACAGCCGCTAAGTGAGCCATCTTGCTCAATCGGTCAACAAAGACCACAATACCAGTGTTGCCTTACGAATCTTTCGGTAGGCCAAACACAAAATCCATGCTCATGGACTCCCAACAACCACTGGGTACAGGCAAACTAGCCAGCGGCGCCGCCGCATGTGCCGAGGGTTTTACCCGTTGACACGTTTCGCACGTACGCACATAGGTGCGCACCCACTTATAAAGTTTGGGCCACCAATAACTTTGGCTCACCAAGCTATAAGTCTTCTCACGACCGAGATGACCACTTAAAGCAGTATCATGTGCCTCATAGAGGATTCGATACTTTAATTCCTCATCATGAGGTACAACGATACGAGCATTGTCCTCAATATCCGTGCGATAGCACAACAGGCCATTATCAATGGAATATCGATGTAGCCTCGCACGTAAACGTGCCGACAATTCTATGTCCGAGTCTTTAAACTCATTGCTCCCAAGAGCTCGTAGCAAAGCTTCACACTGATCGTCCTTGGCATATGCCGCACGAATTAAGTCAGGGACTGACGACGACAGGGTCGTAACATGAGCAAGCTAATAGTCAGGTCGACGCGATAGCGCATCAGCCAAAGCGTTTTGCTTACCTGGCTTGTACTTCACCTCGAAGTTATATTCGGCAAAGAAAGAAAGCCAACGAGCCATTCTCTGTGAGAGGTGAGGCGACTGTGTCGCAGTGCGCGATGACGCATGATCGGTATAGATCACAAACGGCTTGGAGCCTAGCAGATGGACTCTGAATTTGACAAGAGCGTACTTCATAGCAAGTAGCTCTTTGTCATGAACAGGATAGTTCTTTTCAGCAGCTTTCAGCTGTCGAGATTCAAATGCGATGACGCGTTCGCGTCCGTCGACATCTGTTTGTAACAGAGCACTGCCTATGGCAAAGTCAGATGCGTCACAGACGACACTGAAAGGCCGACCAGAATCGGGCAAAGCCAATATTGGCGCATGAAGGAGACGCTCCTTAACTGCTTCAAAAGTATAATGTTCGGTGTTACCCCAACACCAACCCACATCCTTTTTAAGGAGATTGGACAATGGCCGAGCCATATCTGCGTAATTTGCACTGTATTTATGTAAGTAATTGGCAAGGCCAAGCCACTTACGCAAGTCCTTTTGGTTCTTGGGGACTGGCCGATCGACTATGGCTTTTACCTTAGCGGGATCCGCTCGAAGGCCTCGCTTCCCAATGAAGCACCCTAGAAAGGGAATCTCTTCTGCACCAAAGATGCACTTCGATGCGTTCGCATACAGCTTATTCGTTCGCATGCACTCGAGCACAGCTCGTAAATGATCAATGTGGTTATCCACATCTGATCTCCCATTCATTGCACGACTATGGACAAAAATGTCATCAAAGTACGTTTGTGCATAGCCTCGATGAGGTCTGAATAGTTGCGTTACCAACCGGTTAAATGTAGCCGGGGCGTTAGATACCCCTTGCGGCATAACGAGCCACTCCTAAAGCATACCGCTCGGAGTACTCACCGCTGTTAGCGGAATATCGCTTGCTCGCACGAGCAGTTGGTAATAACCATCGACTAAGTCGAGTGCACTGTACAGTGTACATCCCGTCATATTGTTCTGAAGAACATCCTTTCTAGGAATAGGCGTCTGCGCCGGTATAGTGGCTGCATTAAGCTTATTGTAAGCATGCACAATACGCCACTTGCCATTTGGCTTTTTGACACAAAATGTCGGTGTTGAATGGGGAGATTTACTCTCACGAACCATTCCAGCCGCGTGCTTAGCACGAAAGAAATCGTCAATGACGTCGCACTGTTCTTTAGGCAAAGGCCACTGCCGTGTTACACAGTATTTAGTTACAGGAACCAAGTCAATCTCATGACGTACACCTCTATCTGGAGGTACGGCAGAAGGTGGGTTGTGACACACCACATCTTGAAATCCTTGACTAAAGGATAGAACGGATCCAAAGGATCTTTAAGGATCGAAGATCCACTTCGTGCACTAAGTGCCGCCTTTGTATCCTCTAAAACAGACTCATCCAATAACGAGGAAGAATTCAACTCAGTATCAGGTCTAATGACCGCTAACTCGGATAATTCTCCTGCCTTCAAGGCCTGGCTAAACTCGCCATCAGACATTTCGTCTAGCTCACACAGAGCGTCCACAGATGGAAGGGTTTCGAGGCTCACGTTGCCATTAACCTGACCAGTCACTCCATTAACAAGTGTATATAGTGTATTGCTAATCTCACGATGTGACTGTGAGGACGCCTGGCGCTTTACAGCTGCTACTCGGCGTCTCGATTGTCTCTTCGAGACCTTACTCCCCTTAGGGGTCGGGACAATATTGTCCCCATGGTTACTACCAACCATGGTACGCTCTACACGAGAGCTTTTGTCTTGACCGACATTAGGTGTGGTGCCCTCACGGCCGTCCACACTATACGGCGTATCGCCAACAGTGTCATTACTGACATTAGGTGTGGTGCCCTTACGGCCGCCCACACTATACGGCGTATCGCCAACAATATCATTACTGACATTAGGTGTGGTGCCCTCACGGCCGCCCACACCATATGGCGAATCGCCAACAACGCCATTACCGGCGTTAAGCGTGGTGCCCTCACGGCCGTCCACTCTATACGGCGTATCGCCAACAATATCATTACTGACATTAGGTGTGGTGCCCTCACGGCCGCCCACACAATGTGGCGAATCGCCAACAACGCCATTACCGGCGTTAAGCGTGGTGCCTTCACGGCCTCCCACACTAAATGGCATATGGCCAACAATGTCATTACCGACATTCAGTACGGTGCTCTCACGGCCGACCGCACTCGGTGTAATTTCACGTGCCACCATACACACATCAAAGGAATCACGTCCTTGATCACTCGGCCCTAGGCCTACCATGCTTTCAGCATGCAGTGACTCGTTATCACAACGAGTACCACTCAACGGAGTACGTGCCGTTTCACTAGTTTTAGACGAGCTAGGCTCGAAACTTGTGTTTTTAACATTGGAGTTAGATAACTCGGACATTCCAATATCCAGCACATTGACATCTTCTGTCAAAGGCTCGCGCCAATAGCGCTTCTGCTGCCTAGCAAAGGTGGGTTCATGACTCTCCAAAGCTTCGCTAGGAACATTGCGCGTAGCGCCTAAGGTCTTAGACCTCCAATCAATCCATGGCTCATGGCGCTCAAGCCAAGCCATACCTAGGATGAGATCATATCTCGAGTCCAAATCTAGGACAAGACAGCGCTCAATACTGTCAAAGTCTAAAAACTTTATACCTAAGTTCAATGGAACTTTAGGCACCGTTACGCGACTTCCAGTCGCTAAACGAACCGTGATAGAATCACCCTCATGCGCTGTAAGCGCCTCAGCATAACGCTGACTTCCCTCAAGGGAACGGCGTCGAGCATAATTGCAAGACGCTCCAGAATCGATCAATATCGACCAAGGCTTCTCGAAGCCCTTAATTTTCGCCTCAGCGACCAACAAGCCAGACTTGTATCCACGCACCATACCCGTAGGTATGGTACTCTTTGGGGCTAAGCCCTGCATTCCTTTACCTTCTAAAGGTGTAACAGAACATAGTTCTTCCCCAGTAGGGCGCCCCGCGCCTACTGGGTGTCGGCATTTCCCCGTGCCATGTCAGACTTCTGACTCGGGCTCGAGTGTTGGCTCGTAGTCTGGCGTTGCTTACGCAAAGGGCAACCAGGCCGCAAGTGTTTAGTGCTTCCGCACATAAAACATCGTCCTACAACGTGTTTCTGCTCAGCAGCTTGAAGCTCAGCTTCCCCTCCATCTTCAGCATAGCTGAGATCCATCGGTTCCGGCCTATTATAGGCAGTGGTACCCGAATAGTTTGCTCTCACAGAGCGAGGATTGTATCCGTTCCAACCAAGTCCGGCCGACTTGAAGTCATGCTCAGCATTAAGGGCAGTTCTCACAGCCTCTTCAAACGTAGAGGGGTGAACCCGAAAAACTTCGGTCCTGGCAATGCCAGTACGTAGACCTTTCATGAAGATAGTCACATGGACTGCTTCAGGCAAAGGGTCAGACTGCATTGCAGCCATGAGCGTTCGCAGCTCTTGGAAATAGTCCGATAATTCATTCTTACCCTGGCGGGTAGAAAGAAAGCGTGAGCGCACGCGGTAAGCCTGGTTAGGTGGAGAAAACACCTGTACCAATTGTAACTTGAGCGACCCCCATGTGGGAAACGCTATGTCCACCGACGTGCTACACGTCAAGGCCCATTCTCTAGCTCTACCATCGAGCTTCGAGATAGCCAGCGAGACCTGTTGATGGTCAAGCGTGATCAGGCCTGATCTCATGGCCATCTCGATCTCACGGATCCAGAGGATGAGGTTCTCGCCCTCCTTACCGGAGTAGTTTTTTACTTCCACTCTAAGTGGACGAGGCTTAGCCTCTTCGTCTGGTACAGACACGTAGCGTGTAGGCATAGCCGACGCTATTTGGTCTTGGACCTGCCCTAAAAGGGTCGCTTCATACTGCATGAAGCTTTCAACACGTGCATTAAGCACTTCAGGACCTTGTGAAACAAGGAACTCCACGTACTCTGGACCCAAAGATGCGGTCAGCTTATCAAGCGCGACCTTTTGGGCCTCAGATAGGGGAGTGATGTTTTCCATCCTCACAGAGGATCAGTCTTAAAGACTCAGGCGTAGATTGACTACGAGTGCTACCAAGTGTAGCGGAGCTACACAGCTCCTTAAGTCAGAGGAAGACTTAACGCTCTACGAGCAACTTAGTTAAAAAAAATAACGACTTTACGAGTCAACAAGCTTTATAGCTTCAGATCCCTGTTCCAGGGGACCTAACGATTCAGTGAATCGACAGCACTTAGTGCTCAAGAGTAGCTACCTCAAGGAGGTGTCGCTAACTCTTAGTGATCAGAGATCAACGATCAAGACGGCTCGCAAGCCACGTGTCTTTCAGATCAAAATGGGAACTGATTTTATTTTTGTTAAAGCCTATAGAATATCTTAATCCTACTCAAAGATCTTTCGTATCTAATGGATGACACTCGTCAGCCCCTACAAACCGATAAGATATTCTATATCACCTTCACAGAAGCGAACCCTCAGGTGTGTAACACCTCTGGTACAAAGTACCATGATTTCGTGCAACCCTGTTACAGAACAGGTGAGTCTTGACGGGACCATCCGCAAGACCCTGCATGAACACCGAAACCAACGTGTGTTCATCTACCGGATTGGAGCTTATACAACTCGTAAGATGTCGTATATGTTGCGCGTAAGCGTGCACATCACGCTTACCTTGTTTGAGCTTCAAGAGTTTAGTTCGAGCTCTGAACTCAGCTCCAGGCGGTTCAAACGTTTTTCTGAGCCGCGACTTGAAGACTTCTAACGACCCAAACGCATATGGGTCGTGCAACTTGAGTCCCAGTGCCCAAGTCTTGGCACGTCCTGCCAGATTTGACTGGGCAAATGCAACTTGCATATCCCCGTCGTCGATGCGACGCGCCCTTATGGCGTCATCTAACTCGACGAACCATCTCAAGAGGGAGTCCTCTTCGACTCCTCTATACTTGGAGATGTCAATCTTCAAGGTCTCGGGTCGACGCGAGTGCATCGACTCACCAGCAGCAGCCTGCTGCTGTCTCAACAGATCAAACTGTTGAGCACCCTGTTCTCTTATCAACTCTGCTTGTTGAGAACCTTGTTGGTGGAGCAAGGCTACTTTCTCGCGTTCAGCGCCAAGTTCATTTTGAATGAACTTGGCGATAGTAGCATGTTGGGCATCTCTATTGAGAGCCTCTAGCATGACGCTAATAGCATGGATGCCCATGGTTGAACCCATCCGTTCAACCGCATCCCATTCAACATCGCTCAAATGAGAGTAGCCGTCACGCGTAGCGTGAAAGCTTTGGTCATCTTCATCATCCAACATATTCATGTTGGATGTGAACGTGGTCCTTGGACGGACTACGAAGTGCTACCAGGTGTAACGGGGCACCCTGAAGCTTGTACTGATGACAGTACAAGCTACTTATTCTGATGACAGAATAAGGCGGTGCCTCGGAACTTTACTTACACTCGTACGTGCAGAGGAAGACGGTAAGAAGAAGCGAGTACTTGGTTAAAGTAAAAAGTAGAACCGTATTAAAATCGCTAATGTCTGCAATAAACCACTATTCATCCTCATCTAACTATGTCTGAATACAAATGTGTAAATCAACAATCTGCTCACCACTCATTGCGTGCGTCTGTCGTGGCGCGTCTTCGTTAGTTGATATAATGGCCTATATCAACCAATTAGGAACTACTCGTAAGTGCTCCAGAATATTTGTCCTCATGACAATATTCTGAGAATAGAACGCTTATAGTTATATTCTATGAACAATTTCTTATAAATTGTTATGTAACGATTCACCTCGTTACAGCATTCGCCAGCTATATAGCGCTTCTTTATAAACGCGATTGTCACAGGTCCACTTATAGAAGAAATATAAGGTGATGTAAACTAAATCATTAGTAAGCTGGTGCTGATTCTGAGACAGGTGCTGATGATGAGACTTTTGGCCAACGGTGCTGATAGTGAGATTTACTGAGCTAAGATCTCTCCTGTCTAATGGCTGAAATTGGTCAGCCCCTATAAGCCGATAAGATATTCTATACTTCTTTTAGTGGGAAATCATCCGTGTGTCTGACACAGCAGGGTACCAAGTATCCAACTACGAGTAACTGTTTTACAGAGTAGAACAGAGGTACACATGTGTAGCTGATCGGTGAAAGTCCCATCCACATAAACGGAAGCAGTACGAGCAGACGCAAGAGCAGAGACGAACAGGCAGAGATGCAGTAGAACAGAGGTATACAAATGTAGCTGATCGGTGAAAGTCCCACTCACATAAACAGAAGCAGTACGAGCAGAAGCACGAGCAAAGAAAAACAGGCAGAGATGCAGTAGAACAGAGGTATACATTTGTAGCTGATCGGTGAAAGTCCCACCCACATAAACGGAAGCAGTACGACCAGAAGCACGAGCAGAGACGGACAGGCAGAGATGCAGTAGAACAGAGGTATACAAATGTAGCTGATTGGTGAAAGTTCCACCACAAAAACGGAAGCAGTACGACCAGAAGCACGAGCAAAGAAAAACAGGCAGAGACGTGGTAGAACTGAGGTGCACACCGGCAGCTTTCGAATGAAGCAGAGAAAAAGGTCTGGCCGTGCTGAATAGGCTGGAGGAAGGAACCGCCCACACGCTTTGACAAAACGCAGACTTGATTGTGGAAAACAACGAAGAGTAAGCGAGACCCGAACGGTGGCGACATTCCGTGGCTATGCCAGGAATGCAAGACCGACTTCACAGAACGATGATGACGGAGATCTGTTGCAAGAATAACATGCAGGCCTGTTATGTCCGGACCCGGATATCTGATCGGTGACAGTTTTACCACATAAACGGAAGCAGTAGGGGCAGAAGCACGAGCAGAGACGAACAGGCAGAGATGCAGTAGAACAGAGGTATACATTTGTAGCTGATCGGTGAAAGTCCCACCCACATAAACGGAAGCAGAAGCACGAGCAGAAGCACGAGCAAAGAAGAACAGGCAGAGACGTAGTATCACAGAGGTTTGCATCACGTAAGTTGCAGCTGCAGCCCTGAAAGGTGAGACACATGGCAGTAATTTGAAATAACGAGCGAATATAAGAAGGACAACGCAAATTCAGATTTTCGGAGGAATACTCGAATAAGGGACCTTTCGTGCATTTGTATACGACATACATTGTCTGTATTGAATTCCGGCCCTGCGGCCACAGCAAGTAGCAATCAAATATTTCTTCAGCTTTAACAGGTACGGCACATCCGATTGGCACGAGGGGCCAGCTCACGCAATGCCAGCCGTTTCGTTT